CTAACTACATTCCTGACTAAAAACTACACAATTTAAAAGAAAATTCACCTTCCTACACCCTCTAGTTTCCGAGATATTAAAGAAAATGTATTTTCAACCCCGAACTTTGAGGGCTATTTTCACCCCCTCACCATGCATACATGCATGTCCGCAGATATAAAAAAATACGTGTCAAATGATTTTTGAAAAGCTACCACATATGTGAATTTCATTAAAATCCGCGTGTAACACCTTGGTGATGTCCCTTGTCAGTCGACAGACGTCCAGGAATGTTCGCCGAACTCTCCATGTCAACCGAGTGTCCAGGATCAAATTCCCGTACTCTCCCCCCTATTCACCAGGCAGGCGTCCAGGAGAGTTTCGCCGTACTCTCCTGCCTGGGTATCATGGAGTTTAAATCTTTACCTCCGGTCGGGCGTCCAGGAGTTGTCGCCGAACTCTCCTGCCGGAGTTTTCTACTAGCTACTCTCTGAGCAGGCGTTCAGATATTGGTCGCCGAACTCTCTTGCCGGAGTCTCCAACAGCTAAGTTCTTCTCCAGCAGGCGTCCAGATATTCTCGTCGAACTCTTCTGTTGGAGTCACTAGGCTAGTCCGAGAGCGGCAAATGGTCCTTAGCTTGTCCTCTCTCCCAGACTGCCACATCGTGACTGAAGCACATCGTTTTATCGAGAGTAATTGACTACGCAGTTGTAACTATTGTAAGTATTTACAATAGTTATGCAAGTACTAGGGCTATTTTTGAGAGTCCTTTTATATTTTTAAATTTACAATTTGTATGTCCAAGTTTTTTCGACGGTCTCAACAGTTGATTGCCAATGCCATAAATGTGAATTTCCGGAGGGTCATAGGACAGAACCTAGGAGACATTAGCCAGGCCACCCTTGTTGACAACCCAAGCAAATTCTGCCTGGGGCCCACTGTCTCCTTTACTACCGCCACGCGACACATCTAACTCCGCGTGGACAGTGCTCAGGGCACACGGGGTTGGATGTTGTCGTTTAAAAACGTCTCGATTGGCAAAACAAGACACCAATCAGGACAACCACCTCGTTTTCCAAGCTTTCCTCCTCAGGAATAATAATATTGTATAATATTGATAATAATATTGTTCTAAGTATTGTTGTAATTATGGCAGAAAAGCAGAATAAAAAGAGAGTTTTTCTGCCTGTAAGCAAAAAAATTAAAATTATGAAAGAATTAGAGGAAGGAGTGTCACTGCAAACATTGTGTAATAAATATGCAGTTTCGCGAGATGTTATCTATCGGATTCGTCGAGAATGTGGACAACTCAAACATTTCGGAATTCGGAGAGGGCATAACGAAAATCGCAGAACGTCTTCAAACGAAGACTTAGAAAATAGATTATACACGTGGTTCCAACGTCCAATGGTGAATCCAGTAACAGATTTGCTGTTGCAAGAAAAGGTCAACGCATTGTTCCAGGAGCACGGGTCGACATCCTTTGCCGGAAGCAGGGGCTGGTTACATAAATTTAAGAATCGCTATGAAATTAGAGTGGCACGGGTACATGGCGAGCAGGCAAGTGCCGATACTGAAAGTGCACAACAATTTACACAAACTTTTACGAAGCGAATGAAGGAAGACAACATTGATTTGTGCACGATATATAACATGGATGAAACGAGGCTGTTATGGAAGACAGTCCCGTCAAAAAGTTTAGTGTGTGCTGAGGAAGAAAAATTGGCAAGAAAAAAACTCAAGAAAGATAGAGTGTCTATTGGATTGTGCGCCAATGCTAGAGAACACATTGTGGGAATCGCATAAGGGTTAACTCAATAATCGAGACTTGCGTTCCACACGAGTTTATTAAAATGCGTACGAGCAGTAAAAACGATGTAAGGTATACGAACGACTCTGACAGACTGTCTCGTCGCTGGTTAAAACCTCTCCTCGAAAACTCATCAGTAAAAGAAGAAAGAAACAGTTTAGAAAGAGAGAAAATACAGAAAGTGGGAAAATCCAGAAAAATCGTTGAAAGTTCGGAAAAGGAGAGGTACAGTGGAAGAGAATTATAAAACAGAAAGTGAAGAGGTTCGCAAGGGCCTGAGCGTTGACACTGACCAGGCCCCGGCGAGACCCTATAGAAAGTGAAAACAATTAGAGAACGTAAAGCTAAAGAAGATAGAAAACAGGAAACAGAATTTTAGAAAACAGAAAGAATATAGAAAACAGAAAAGGCAATGGCGTATGTGGTGCTAAGGGCGCCATCAAAATACAATAAGAAACTCGTAATACAATAATATCGTACGTCCGTACCCGATTAAAAAACACACCATAAAAATAATAACAAATTACGTTAACAATACCAAAGCGCTCACGCTAAACAACATATGAACTTTACAAGATACAAAATCAATCTAATGGAACGCGAAAAAAAAAAAACGTATAAAATGCAATACACCACACAATATATAATAAGAAAAACACACACTATAATAATAAGCACACTATATAATGATAAACACGCCATAAAATAATAAAATAATTTTAAGAAAAAAAATACGCCGACTTCGAAATGCACTAAAAAGTATAAAATAATTTCTATTTCCTAATGAAGTAATTTCTATTTCATTCAATCATACAATTACGTAACAGATATGAATGAAACCTATTTACTTGTTAGGTAGTATATTAAATACATTTCAACCTCTTCGGAGGCGGCGCAAAATTAAAAGATTTTCTTGAACATGTCAACCTTTGGACAGCCAAACATAGGCAAAGCTTGTATAGCTATGTTTTTTCTATACATATAACTCGACATCACGCCGCGAAGTAGGTGTTAGTGCGTATAAAATGTAACTATGGTCTAACGTTTTCCGGAACCCCTTTTAGGGCTTCGGTCGCGGCCGCTTGGATGTCTTGTATCGACAAGAAACGCGTTCCTTTCAGGGGTGTCTTGATCCGGGGGAACAAAAAAAAGTCTGCCGGTGCCAGGTCAGGACTATAGGGGGGTTGGGGAAGCGTTATCACCTTGTTTTGGGTCGGAAACTCACGTACTCGCAGCGCGTTGTGGCAAGGCGCGTTGTCAAGATATATATATATATATATTTTTAAGTTAATTAACATAAATGAAAATATATATATATATATTGATTACCGACTGTCGAATTTGATAGATATGGTAATAGATACCTAATGTACTGTCGATAATTGGCAACTACTGTCGATAATTGGGTATTCTAATCGGTGGATAGAAGATTGTCGCGATGATGCCGGTAGAAAAAGAAATGTTTCCCCAGGGACGTTACAACTGCATGCAATACAGTCATATTGGCATACAAATATCTCTGACAAAAAGAGTTTCTAATTAATTATCCGTAACTGTACACATTGGTTTTAATAGTAACTTGAGATTTCGCTTGTATAGCTGAGTAAAAGTAGTAGAAAAGCCATGAATAGATGCAGTGGATACTGTAACGAGGCATATTTTCATTTGGTTGATTACCTTCTTTTTTTTTGGTTATGCCTCGTTACGAGGATCCTCCCGAATTGCCGGCCCCACTCCTCCGCCCAAGCGGACCCCCTCGCCGCTGGGGCAGGTATGAATGAGTGAACGGGTGCATGTGTTTCTTTTTCATTTTAATTTTTTTTCGCGGACGCTACGTTTTCTCTCCCC